TGATGCCCATGGCAAATCCCGTTCCTGTGCAGAGGAGCCACCTCCAGGGCCCCATCCTCCGGTAGGTGGTAGGCGTGGGCGCCAGCGGTGAGGAAGGGAGAGGGGGGGAGGATGGCAGCTTGCTGAGGGTCCACCAGTTGTACTTTGGTGGAGCGGTGAGACTAAGACTTGACATTTAGTTAATGAATATGTTGTGTGTGTGTGTGTGTGTGTGTGTGTGTGTGTGTACTTCTCCATCTTTTACCCCATCCATCTTGCCCTTTACCTCATACTCTTCCTTACCCACCTTCCCTTCCTTTCTATCACTTCTTGACTACAGCAAATAGTCTTAGTAGAATTTCCCTTAGTAGAATTTCCCTCACATTCCTCTGACATCTCTTCCTCTGGTGTCTTAAGAACCCAAAAGGAAAATAGGATTCTTCTCACAACTCTCAGCCCCTTGGCTTAAGGCTGCCCTACATTGAGCCCCCTGCTTACAGTGATCCTCTGGGGAATGCAGATTCTGGAAGTAGTGCAGGGATAGTTGGAAATCACCAGGTCATCAGTCATATGAGAATTCAAAGAAATGGACTGGTGGGGGCTGAGGAAGCGGAGCTCTTTTGGGGTTTAAGGATTATTACTGCCTCGAACCTTCTTTTCCAGTCGGATGCCCAGAGCTGGAAGACATGAGACCTTCCAAGGGTTAGGATCCTAGGTGTGTGCAGGGACTGACGGTAAAGGGGAGGTGGTGGTGGTGGTGAAACAGTTAGGGGTGGAGGTGGAATGAATGTTGGGGGATGTTAGGTCTGGATGAGGATCGGACAGGGTTGAGCATCCAGTTTTGCAGGGAAAGGGACCCTTCCCTGACAGATTCCCCAAGGACTGAATCAGAGGGGTTGGATTAACACTGATGTAGGAGTGGGAAAAGGATTTCCTGCAGAAGAATGGTGAGGTGAGGACTTTGGGTGGGTCAAGGGAGACCTTAACTCTGAAGGACTTTAGAATCAGAGAGGCCCTGCCAGGCCAGAAAGTGCCCGGTGGGGGTTACAGGAAGGTTAAGTTCAGCACCTGGATCCTCCCAGCCGCCTGAGTCCAGGTTCCCCTTCTTGGACTCCCCCTTTGACAAATATACCCTTTAGGCTTTCTTTCTCTCTCGCTTTGGGAGTAGGCACTGCTGGTGTCTGGATTGTGTTGAGTTTAGATTTTAACGGGAGCTGTTCAGGAGCTCCTGGACAGGATCAGAGGTGGAGGCAGGAGGAGCTTGGAGGGAGGGTGTGTGGGAAGGCAGCCCACCATCTCCCTCTTCTCCCCAGGCTCTCCATCACAGAGAAACCCGGCTCAGAGAGTGCCATTGTGAGTTCTGGCAGAGAGCTCTAATGAATCTGCCTTCTTTCCCATTTGTTTATTTAACGAACGTTTACTGAGCACGTATTGTGTGCTCTGCACACAGCAGCCAGGATAAACAAGTCACTGTCAGTGCCATCAAGACACGCACAGTCTCCGAAACCAGTTTGGCTCAGTGGATAGAGCATCGGCCTGCGAACTGAAGAGTCCCAGTTCGATTCCGGCCAAGGGCATGTACCTTGGTTGTGGGCACATTCCCAGCAGGGAGTGTGCAAGAGGCAGCTGATCAAGGTTTCTCTCTCATTGATGTTTCTAACTATTCCCCTCTCTTCTTCTCTGTGAAAAAAATCAATAATAATAATAAAAAAGCATGATGAGCATAAAAAAAAAAGACATGCACAGTCTACTGTAGGTTGATGGACACTAACACTTCATGAAGGGTAGATGGCTGGCCCGGCTGGTGTGGCTCAATGGTTGAGTGTCAACCTATGAACCGGAAGAGTAGGGTTCAATTCCTGGTTAGGGCACATGCTTGGGTTGTGGGCTCGATCCCCAGTGTGGAACATGAGGAGGCAGCCAATCAATGATTCTCTCTCATCATTGATATCTCTCTCTCTCTCTCTCTCTCTCTCTCTCTCTCTCTCTCTCTCTCTCTCTCTCTCTCTCTCTCTCTCTCTCCCTTCTCTGAAATCCAATATATTTTAAAAAAAGGATAATGACTGAGATTCATGTCTGTGATGGAATCAGTTCCAGCCTCTCTTCAATCTAATTACAAGATTGCGCTCCCTCCTGTCCGTTAAAGCTCCAATAGTGTGAGTTATTGGCTTGCTGACCTGACTGAGATTGACAAATTTTGTGACCTTGAACGAGTCACTCAACCTCCTCATCACGTGATTGGGAGGCTCAAATGAGAGTTGTACTTGTAAAGGAGAGATCATGACCATTTTCATTCTCCCATTTCCTCTGTTAGTGGACTTTCTAAGTACCAGACTCCATCCAAACCAGACTCCCTTCTGGACTTGGGATGGAGAAGTCAGGCGCTGCTGGATTTGAAGGGGATGAGCCATGAGCTGGGTAGGGCCAGCATGATGCTGGTCAGTTAATTCCAATCCAAATCACATTCATAAAGACCCGGAGTATACGCCAGGCCTCTTGCACACATTCTTTCATTCAATCCTCTCATTAACAGACTTTCACAGGGAGTTTATTATCCTCCTCACTATTTTATAGGCGAAGGAATTGAGGCTCTAAACTAAAAGTCCTCAAACGTTAGTGTGTGTGAGAATCATCTGGATTGTTTGCTAATTGCAGATCCCTGAGCCATACCCGCAGCTATTCTGGTTCAGATAGGTGTGTAATGAGACCTGGAATCCCAAATGTTCCCAAGTGTCCCAGGTGGTTCTGACGCCAATGGTTTCCAGGCCACATCTTGACAGGCACTGGTGAAGGATTAGTGACTTGCCCAAGGGCTCAGAGTGAGGTTTGAATCCAGGATTGCTGCCCCTCCCTCGCCCCCTCACTCATTGTGAGGATAAGTGAGATAATGGAGGAGAAAGCGCTTTTAGAAATGTAGAGCTGGCAGCATTGTTAGCAATTATGCGAATACATGCAAATGAGCACCTGTGGGCTTGACTGTTCACCCTGGGAGTCTGCGCTGAGATGATGTGTTTTGAGAGGCAGGTGGAGGGGAAAAAACGTTGGCGGAGGGCATTGACCCCGGGGGCAGAGCTTTTGGTTGTAAAAAGGGCTGACCAAAGTGGAAAATTATGGCTAGGGCTGGCATGGGGGGGAGAGGGGAGGGGGGAAGTGGGACCAGAGGCCTTTCTTCCTAGGCTATGTGTCCCCAGGTTTGGGGGCCCCTGGCCACAGGGACTGCCCAGGAGCGGGAAGCCTGGCTTGAGCCTGGGCCCCAAAGGCGGAGTGTACGTACCTCTTTGTTCCGCGATGGCTGGCTCTGGGAGATGCTGGCTCAGGTCTCCCTTTCTGCTCATTGGCTGCAAAGCTTTTTCTGTGTCTAGCCTCTGTTCCCTCTGCCTACTGGACTCCAGCTGGGCCGGGGCTTTACTGAACTGAGCCTCTATGACCCACCGTCTGCACACGGAGGGGTGCAGCAGACAGGCTGGGAGTGGGATTTGAGGCAGCCCGCCCAGGCGGCTGCAGCGTCCCCCTCCCACCTCCCTGCTTTCCCTCCGCGCCGTGTGCATCCAGACAGGTCTGCAGCCAGGTGAGAGCGGGCCTGTGCGCTTCCTGGGGCTGGCTCTTTTGGGCACCCCTCTTTCAAAGCTGCCGAGACCCCAGGATTCCAGAGCTGCGTTCCTCAGGGAATGCCATTGTTCTCCCTCCCCCCGCGTCCCTGGGAATGGAGGCTAATTTCAGCCTCTGGTCCCTGACTCATTCTCTTCTGCTCCCTGACTCAGAGGGTGACCTTGGGCTGCGGAAGGCCCTCTCCGTGGGGAATTGTGGTGGCCACTGTTTCGCCCCCATTTTGGTGGGGCTGGCAGGGCAGGGCTGGAGGAAGGAGCAAAGGGGCAAGTTTAATCACCTTTTTAAACATCATCGTCTGAAGTCGGAAAGCGCTGTTTGCTCTGTGACTGCCTGGGCTGGACTCACCAGACTTCTAAGAAGCCTCCCAGTTAATCACCAACTCCCAGAGTTCACGAGTGCCAAGTAGGGGGGATTGTTCCTTCAGGCAACACATTCAGTAAGGGAGACCCCTGGCCCCACACCCACCACGCTTGCTCTGGGGAAGCTGCTGCGGGGCTGTGGTAGGGGATGGGTCACCCTGGTCCTGTCCCGGGCAGGCAGGGGTTAATCCCGCTTTGTCCTGGTTGATGGATTCTGGGATCATAATCCATTAGCTCTGCCTGGATGGAGTGAGGCCAGGAGAAAGCATTCAGATTGCTCTTTGTTCTGTGTCTCTGCCATCCTGCCAGGGACAGAGGGGCCCTGGACATGCACCTCCCATCACGACCTAGAGACACAGGGAGAGAATGTTGGGTCCTCTTTCAATCTCTGTTGATCCCAGAGCCCTCTCTCATGGGGGGAAATAAGCAGTTTCAGTTCTTGGTTATTCCGACTATGAAACAGACCATAGGCCATCCCAAAAACATTCCCCAGAAGCTTGTACCTGCCCAATTCTGCTGAGCCCCAGCAGTCTGAACAAGAATGTTCAGGAAACACTGATTCAAGGGGAGTGCTAAGAGGTCAGAGATGGATGGGAACAATGGAGTCAGGAAAATCCTGGAATTACACCTGGGCGGGGGGTGGGGGTGTAGATACATTTATTTCTTTTTTTAAAAATATATTTTTACTGATTTTTTACAGAGAGGAAGAGAGAGGGATAGCGAGTTAGAAACATCGATGAGAGAGAGACACTAATCAGCTGCCTCTTGCACACCCTCCACTAGGGATGTGCCCGAAACCAAGGTACATGTCTTTGACCAGAATCGAACCGGGATCCTTTCAATCTGCAGACTGAGGCTATATCTCCTGAGCCAAACCGGTTTCGGCCAGATACATTTCATATGGTCAGTGGCAGCAGCCTGAGGTGAAAAATATTAGCTGCTCTTAGACTTCCTGTTAGAAGGACCAGTGATTTATGGAAGACTTGAGGGTATCCTGCCTGCAGGACAAGGTAGCAGTGCCTGAGCAGGGTGTCTGTCCCCCGCCCTTCCCAGGCTCCGCTACATGGTGAAGCAGCTGGAGAACGGGGAGGTGAACATTGAGGAGCTGAAGAAGAACCTGGAGTACACAGCGTCCCTGCTGGAGGCCGTCTACATAGATGAGACGCGGTGAGTGTGGGGACAGGGGGATGCCGGGCAGGGAGAGACCTCCCCGCGGAGGAGGGAGATGCCACACAGGCACAGGAGCCCAGACCCTGGGGCTCACAGGAAGCCGGGGCAGAGACCTGTGCTGGAGCCAGAGTAGGAAGAGTGAGATGGGCAGAGGGGAAATCTGGAGGTAGAAATCCTGGCAGAGCTAAAGAGGCAGAGGAACAGACGCAGGGTTGTAGAGACGGAGGCAGACAGGTGTCAGGAAGGAAAGCAGACGGTTGCCTTAAAGCTCACCTGGTCCCAGCCTCCTTCCCCGTGTGGAGTCCCTCAGGCCCTGCCCTGCCCGGGGCGGGAGCCACTGGCCTCCTGTGGCCACTGAGGCTTGAAATGTGGCGACTGAAAACAAGACTTAGAAAACAGAATGTAAAATATCTCATCAGTATATGTTATATTGGTTCCACATTGAAATGACAGTCTTTTGGGTGTCTTAGGTTAAAGACAATTTATCATTAAAATGAATTTCATGTGTTTTTTTTTTTTTTTTTAAATTTTTAGATTTTTATTTTTTGCATTTTAAACGTGGCATCTGGAACATTTACAGTTACATTTTATCCTGTGGGACAGCGCTGCTGGCCGGCAGCATCCCTGGTAGGCGGTGTTCCAGTGTCTGCTCGGACACTTCCAGAGCTGGGATGCTCGCTCACTACCTCGCAGGGTGACCGGTTTTACGACTGGGGACCTGAGATAGAGACACAGAAATAAAAAGACGCAGAGAGAAAAAGCAAGAGAAGGGAGAGAGCTGGCCTCGGAGTGGCTGAGGCGTGGGGTGTGGCTGGGCCCGGGTCCGTGGGCTGGGGCCCACTTCTTGTCTTTCCTCTGTGACGCCCGCCCTCCGGTGCCGCAGGCAAATCCTGGACACGGAGGATGAGCTTCAGGAGCTGCGGTCGGACGCTGTGCCTTCGGAGGTGCGGGACTGGCTGGCCTCCACCTTCACGCAGCAGACCCGGGCCAAGGGCCGCCGCGCCGAGGAGAAGCCCAAGTTCCGCAGCATCGTGCACGCCGTGCAGGCGGGGATCTTCGTGGAGCGGTGAGGCCTCCCTCTGCTTCCAGGCCTGACCCCGCCCCAGCCGCCCTGGTCCGCCAGCGGCATGTCCAACGGGTCAGACCCCACTCCGCAGGCCTTCACACCGAGCCTCATGTCACTGTCTCCCGTAGGATGTTCCGGAGATCCTACACCGCCGTGGGCCCCTCCTACTCCACTGCGGTCCTCAACTGTCTCAAGGTGAGGCTGGGTTTCCGGGAACGGGAGAAGGTCGGGGTGAGGAGGCGGGAATAGTCGTCGGGACTTGCAGACTCTGTGGAGCGGGTGACTTCGCCTTCCCTTACTTAAGTGCTGTTCTCATGTTCCTCAAAACAACGTTTTTTTTCGCCGAAACCGGTTTGGCTCAGTGGATGGAGCGTGGGCCTGCGGACTGAAAGGTCCCGGGTTTGATTCTGGTCAAGGGCATGTACCTTGGTTGTGGGCACATCCCCAGTGGGGGGTGTAAAGGGGGCAGCTGATCAATGATTCTCTCTCATTGATGTTTCTAACTCTCTATCCCTCTCCCTTCCTCTCTGTAAAAAAAAAAAAAAATCAATAATAATTATATTAAAAACAAACAAACAAGCAAAAACAATGTTTGCCCACTCCAGAGGCAAACTCCCGCCTCTCTGCCTGTGTAACACAGAGGGATGTCTGGGAAGAAAGAAGTCCACTCACCACCTCCTCGCTTCCCTCCTGGTAGCCATGGGAAGCCCGCTCCGCTGCCGCCTGGAGCCCGGGCGCGCCCTCCTAGTCCGCTGTTTCTCCACAGAACCTGGACCTCTGGTGCTTTGATGTCTTTTCCTTGAACCGGGCGGCCGAGGACCACGCTCTGAGGACCATCGCGTTCGAGCTGCTGACTCGGCATAACCTCATCAGCCGCTTTAAGGTTGGATCACATCCTATCCCTGCCTTTGGGCGTGATTCTCCTGTTCTAGAAGATTCCCAACCAGTGGATTCCATAGGATCCCTCACGTAGTCCCACCGGCAGGGGAGTCTCCTCATGCCCACTCCGGTCTGGCCTTTCTTTTTCTTTCTTTCTTTCTTTCTTTCTTTCTTTCTTTCTTTCTTTCTTTCTTTCTTTCTTTCTTTCTTTCTTTCTTTCTTTTTTTTTTTTTTATATTTTATTGATATTTTACAGAGAGGAAGGGAGAGAGATAGAGAGCTAGAAACGTCGTTGAGAGAGAAACATCGACCAGCTGCCTCTTGCACACCTCCTACCGGGATGTGCCCGCAACCAAGGTACTTGCCCTTGACCGGAATCGAACCCGGAACCTTTAAGTCCGCAGACCGACGCTCCGCCACTGAGCCAAACTGGTTTCGGGAGGTCTGGCCTTTCTGTCACTTGCTGCAGCCCCGGCCTCTGATCTGATTGTGCTTCCTGGGCTAAGATTCTAGGCCTGTAACCGTGGAGCCCAGGATTCTGTTCTCTCCCCTTTGCTTTCCCTCTCACTTGACGTCTCCGGGCTGGTTGGACGTTCACCGCCTCCTTTCAGCTGTGCTGCCTCCTGCCCGTGGACACCAGAGGCCGCAAGCCCAGATGCCGTCAGTCCTTTGGGACTAGAGTCTCTCCATGTGCTTAGGGGGGTGGGGGAGGGAATGGAATTGGCCACCCCGCTCCCACCTAGTGCTAATCTCTGTCCAAGGCATTTATGGAGAGGCTCAGCTCTTGGCAGTGCTGAGTAGGGCTGTGTGAGGGAAGGGAGGGTGTGTGAACTCCATTTGCTCCTCAGCTTGGCTGGCCAAGAAGAATATAGGATTCAAGTCCTCTCCAGGTCCTGTGCCAGGAGGAAATGCCTTTGGGAATAGAGGCTGGAAAAGAACATTTCCACATGGAAAACCACAGCTGGAAGTAGAGGGTGAAGGGTGTGAAGAGTTGCAGTGGGGACTTAGGCCAGTGGGCAGTAGGTGTTAGCCCAAAGGAAACGTGTGTTCTGAGGGCCCATGGCGGGGTGGGAGTGGGTGAGAGGAGTGTGGTTCGAGGGGCCCCTCCTTGAAAGGCCATCCTCCCTCCTGTGCCCCCATTTCAACCTAAGGGACCACTGGACCCTGTGCATGTCTGCCTTCCCTCCGCCGACTCCGCCTTTTACAAGGCCCCCAGGATGGCTGCCAGGCCTTCCCCGAGGTGCCCAGTTGGGATTTTGTTCAGTGTCTTCCTGAGGCCTGTCCTTCTGCAGGTTTATCTTCTTCCCCTTGATCCTGCCCAGAGAACGGCAGGGTCCTCTGTTCCTCCAGGCTTTTCCCAGCTCATGTTCCTCCAAACTGGTTCTCCGGCATATTCCAGGCACAGCTTCCTTTAAACTCTGCTTCCTTACCTGGAAGGACTGGTTTTGGGGGGGGGGGGGGGGACCCTAAGAGTAATTGCATCTGGTTAGGATTGGCCCAACCTCAGTCCACCTTGCTCCGAGGCAGAGAGGGGAGGCTTATTGCTTTAGTGTTCACTCATGGTACAGCCCCCAGTTGGAGTTGTCCTTCTCAGATGCCACATCCCCTTACTGGACACCCAGCCCTCCTCTGCTCCTTCCATTTCCTTCCCCTTCCCTTTCCCCTCTACTTTCCCTTTCCCTTCCTTTCCCTTCCTTTCCCTTCCTTTCCCTTCCTTTCCCTTCCTTTCCCTTCCTTTCCCTTCCTTTCCCTTCCTTTCCCTTCCTTTCCCTTCCTTTCCCTTCCTTTCCCTTCCCTTCCCTTCCCTTCCCTTCCCTTCCCTTCCCTTCCCTTCCCTTCCCTTCCCTTCCCTTCCCTTCCCTTCCCTTCCCTTCCCTTCTCCTCTCTTCTCTTCCCCTCTCTCCCCTTCCCCTTCTTCCTTCCCTTCTGTTTCCTTCCCTTTTCTTGCCCCTCTCCTCTCCCTCCTCTTCCCCTCCCCTCCCCTTTCTCCTTTCCCTTCCTTCCTCCCTCCCCTCCATCCTTTCCCCCTCCCCCTTATCCCCTCCCATTTCCCTCCTCCTTCCTCTCCCCTCCATCTTTACTTTCCCTTCCCTCTCCTTCCCCTTCCCTTCTCTTCCCCTTTTGCTTCCCTTTCCCTTTCCCCTTCTGCTCCCGTCCCCCTCCCGTTGCCCTCTCCCTCCCCTTCCTGTCCCTTTCCTCTTTCCCTTCCCTTCCCTTTTCTCCAGGGACACCATGGCAATGTAAAAGTAAGGGCAGTTGTTATGGAAACAGTCCTTTAAAATTCCCTGAATTTGGGGCACAGCCCTCCAGGGGTGGAGATGGGGGACATTAGGGTCTGATTGATGAGTGGCACATCCTCTGTGTCTAGTTACTTTCACTCATTTCTACAGAAGCTTCCTCAGGTCCTGAATCTTGCTCTCCTCCTAGCCTCAGGAGATCCAGAGACAGATGCAGACACCAGCCCCGCCCTCTAGGAGCCTTGAGCCTTTGAAGGAGGCAGGCATACTCCAAGGGCATGTGCTGGACAGACAGAATTGGTTAGCTTGTGTGGGTAAGGGTGGGGGCAGGCTTCTCAGAGGAGGGGGTAATCTACATCTGGCTGGAAGGATCCTCTGTACATCCTCTTATCGTTTACCCCCCCCCCCCCCCCCTTCTGAGCCCTTATCCATGGTACTGGATTGGGTTGTGGTGGGTGGTTGAAAGGTAGGAGGGAAACAGTCTTTCCTTTTGAAAAAAAAATCTCCAGGGAAATAATAATAACTATAGGTACTCTTTAGAGAGCACTTACGAAGTGCCTTGCACTTATCTCGTTAAATTCAAGGTAGGAGGTGGTATCTTCATTCTGCAATTAAGTATCTGAGGCTCAGGGAGGCATGTGACTTGCCCAAGGTCGCATAGCCAGCAGGTGGTAGAGCCAGGATGTGCCCTAGGTTCACCGGACTGCTGAGCCGGTGCTCTCTCCCTGGGCCACGCTGCCTTCCACAGAAAAATGGCATTGCTGAGCTCAGGCCTGGGCCGCCTGCCATTCCTGCAGATCCTCCACGTAGCTCTGCTTCCTCCCTCCTACTGCAGATCCCCACTGTGTTTTTGATGACTTTCCTGGAGGCTTTGGAGACTGGCTATGGGAAATACAAGAACCCTTACCACAACCAGATCCACGCCGCTGACGTCACTCAGACAGTCCACTGCTTCTTGCTTCGCACAGGGATGGTGGTAGGTGCCCCGGAGATTACTCTGCTGTGATTTAGGGCTTCATGACTGCATAACTGGGGTGTATACTCCCATTTCCCTCCTTCTCTCTTTGGTTCCTCCTTTGGCATCCCACGGTTTTCAGAGGCAAATTGGACTTACTCTGAGGAATTCCTGGGTGGACCATCAATTCACGGGATGTGTACTGGGATGCACTGGGAAGGCTGCAGGTTGGAGTGGAGGAGGGTCTCTGGTCATTCCCTGAGCTGAGAACCCTGGCTGCGTTAGCCCAGCAGCTGGCCTTGAAGAGTGGAAGGGTGGTGTGAGTGGTCCAGGCTGTATGTGGAGATTGGGGGGCAGTGACTCAGAGAGGGCTGGCCCCCTCTCACCCTCTGTCTCTTCCTCCCAGCACTGCCTGTCAGAGATCGAAGTCTTGGCCATCATCTTCGCAGCAGCCATCCATGACTATGAGCACACGGGCACTACCAACAGCTTCCACATCCAGACCAAGTGAGGGGTGGGGTGTGGCAGGGCAGCAGGGGCTGAATGGAAGTGGGGAGGTTGCCAGAATTTCCATTCAACAGGGGTCTGACCATGATGACCTTTGGCTTTGCAGGTCAGAGTGTGCCATCCTGTACAATGACCGCTCCGTGCTGGAGAATCACCACATCAGCTCCGTTTTCCGAATGATGCAGGATGATGAGATGAACATTTTCATCAACCTCACCAAGGATGAGTTTGTGTGAGCAGGAGCCAGGAGTGGGCCTCCCTACAAGACCTCCTAATCCACCCTCCCCCCGTCTCTCTACTCCCTGGACCTCCTGCCACCAGTGCTGTGGGGCTAATCACTCTTCTGGTTCTGTCCATTCAGAGAGCTGCGGGCCCTGGTCATCGAGATGGTCTTGGCCACAGACATGTCTTGCCATTTTCAGCAAGTGAAGTCCATGAAGACAGCCTTGCAGCAGCTGGAGAGGTGGCATCTGGTGGGGTGTGGCTGGGGCTAGGCCAGAGCAGGGAGTGTGTGAATCGGGAGGCATACATATGGGTGATTGGTGTGCCAAGTCTTTACCTGGATGTAGAAGCTCTTCTGGCTCCCGATAGCTGAGTGTGTGTGTGTATATGTGTGTGTGTGTATGTGTGTGTGTGTGTGTGTGACAAGTGTGTGCACATGGCCCTCGGTTTAGGTACAGTCTAGGTAGCTGGTATACTGGAGAGTACTTTGGGCTGGGAGTCTGAGATGGACATTATCATCTCAGCTTCAGGACAGACTTACTCAGGAATGCTGGGAAAATCATTCAATCCATCTGGACTCATTCCCTTATCTGTGAAATGTGAAAATGATATGCCTCCCTCCTCAACAGCTTGCTACCAGTTCCTACTATAAACATGCTATTGAGAGAGTCATGTGAGGTTAAAGACAAAAACACAGAATAAAGGCTATAATTACATCTAATGTTGCTTAAATGTATGAGAGTTGCTAAATGTGTGTAAGAGAGAACGAACTATGTGTGTGTCCTGAAGGTGTGTGTTAATGTGCCATTGTGTGGGAGAATGTGCTGTGTCAGAGCATAACATTGTTAGAAAATAATAATAATAAATAATAATAATAATAATAATTATAGATAACATCTACTGAGTACTTACTATGTACCAGACATTTTTCTAAATACTTTTATGTTGCATGCCATTTACTTCTCAGAACAAGTCTGTGTGGCAGATTCTGCTATTATTTCCACTTAGGATTTGAGGAAAATGAAATACAGAAATTTAAGTAACTTGCTCTATGTCACACAGCTAGTGTGTGATAGGTGTAGTGAGGACTGAACCCAGACTCCTGCTTCTAAGAGCCTGGGCTGCTTGCTCTGTGTGTGTGTGTGTGTTTGAAGTTACCTGAGAGGACCTGAGAGAGGGCAGGCGATGGAGAGTTAGGAATGGTCCACATTTCCTTTTCCTAAAAGCTCAGGTCCCTTCTCTTGCCATCTGCCTTGACCAGGATTGACAAGTCCAAGGCCCTGTCTCTACTGCTCCATGCTGCAGACATCAGCCACCCAACCAAGCAGTGGTCAGTTCACAGCCGCTGGACCAAGGCTCTCATGGAAGAATTCTTCCGCCAGGTACCACGGCATCTTTGCCCACCCCCTGCCCATGGGCCTTCTGTCACTTGGTTTTCCATACTCTTACTCCAGACCTTCACTTAGCAACCTGTGGCTCCTGACCTGACCCCAAACCTGTGGGATAAACTGTCATGGTCCTAAGAGCTGAACAATGGTTGATGCGAGGTGCATCCCATTTGCCCATCACTCGTTTCCAGGTCATAGGCACGGAAATTCCTTTCCTCCCACTACAACCTCCTACCCACCCAGCTTCCCCCTGGATCTGGTGGTCTGAGGTACCCTCTCCTGCTTTCCCTCCTGTCTTCTCCCCCAGGGTGACAAGGAGGCGGAGCTGGGGCTGCCCTTCTCTCCGCTGTGTGATCGCACTTCCACTCTCGTGGCACAGTCCCAGATTGGTGAGTATCCTTTCTCACCGGGAGGAGATTGCAAAGGGGGAAAGAACGCTGTGTGGGGCCTGGGCCGGGACTTCACCAAGTCCCCAACCTCAAAGCCATTCTTCCTATAGAGGCAAGCCTGCTGTGTAGGGCATGGGGTCCTGGGAGGAAGGCCAGGGGCATGCAGTGGTGGGGAGGAGCTCTCTGAGGTCACACATGCATCATTCCAGAGGCTGCCTTCACTGGGAACTCTTCAGCCACAGGTTGCTCTGTTTTACATGCAGAGGGGTCACAGCCATGCCGGCCATTTCCACTCCCCAGGCCTCCAGGTAAGACATCGTCATGGTGTTACCCTCTGCACTGCAGGTTTCATCGACTTCATCGTGGAGCCCACATTCTCCGTGCTGACTGACGTGGCTGAGAAGAGCGTCCAGCCCGTGGTGGATGAGGACTCCACGTCTAAAAACCAGCCCAGGTGAGGTTGACTGGGGTAGCCTGGCCTTCTGGTTCTGGGAGAAGGGAGTCAGACTCATAGAGGGCGGACCCCTAGGGAGGAGGCACAGCCATGGGAGGGGTGGCGGAAGGGTAGGCTACTCTCAACAGGAGAGCTTCTGTACTGTGTGCCCACACCTGTATTCCCTCCTCCATATTTTTGTCTCTTCCATTAGCTCTGTTTATTGCCTTTCTGCTAATCTCGTTTTTATTTTCCTTCTAGTAAGAAGGAAGGTGTGGAGAGGGAGGGGTGGAATCTGGGAGGAGGGGACAGGGACTTGGAAGGTACCTAGCAGAGGGAAGAGGAGAAGGAGGCCCCCTAAGCCTCTTGCTGGCCTTCCATCCCCTCCACACGGAGGGCTGGGAAGGTGGTTCCGGAGTGGGCTGGGTCCCACCTCTGAAGTTGGTGGCGGGGCTGCTTCCAGCTTTCAGTGGCGCCAGCCTTCTCTGGATGTGGAAGTAGGAGACCCTAACCCTGATGTGATCAGCTTCCGCTCCACCTGGACCAAATACATTCAGGAGAACAAGCAGAAATGGAAGGAGCAGGCAGCAAGTGGTGGGTACCGTTGCGGGCATGAAGCCGTGAGAGGAGGTGGCTAGTGGGGTAGTAGCAGGTCCATTTTCCTCAGGCCCCTGGAGCAGCCGCTGACTCCTAGAGTTGGGAATGGAGCTGATCAGACTAAAGTTAGATCCCAGGAAAGACTGACCAGCTGGTTGGCCTGTTCTAGAATGAGAACTGGAGAGACAATGGGACCAACCATATGCCACAACCAGGGGGCCCTCTGCACATTGCGGCCTGTGAGTGGTGCTCCTGTAGATTAGGGCCACTTGACGGCCCTGGCTGGGAAGTCGTTTCCTTTATGTGGGAGTTGGGATTGGGATTAGCTCTCCACAGGAGTGGCCGGGGGCTGAAGGTAGGAAGATGCATGAGAATCTCTTACTTTTCTCCACATACTCCTTGGTTCTGGGGAAAACTACTTCTTGGTCTGGTCTGCAGGCATCACCAACCAGATGTCCATCGACGAGCTGTCCCCCTGTGAGGAGGAGGCCCCACCCTCCCCTGCCCAAGAGGAACACAACCAGAACGGGAATCTGGACTAGCCTGGGGCTGGCCCAGGTGAGCCTGTCATGGTGGAGCGGGGTGGGTCTTGATGTTGGGCGGGGATCAGGGAGAGCTGGGTGTCCAACATGGCATTTGGAAGAGTCATCTCTGGGGTTCAATGGATGTGAGGTTCTCCCTCCCTCCTTCCAGGCAGGAAAGTGGTGGAGTGAACACATAGAACTGAGTCAGGGCGTGAATGTGAAGCAAGGAAATCCCGCCAGCTCTTCTGTCCCAGCCCCTGCATTTGGAAAGCAGGTAGCTCTTCAGAGCAGGGTGGGGTCTGAGCAAGGCTAGAGCCATCCAGGGTAGCATCTTTGTGAGGGCTCGGGAGAAGGAACCAGCCAGGGCACAGGGTCTGTGAGGTCGGTTGGCATGACTTTGATCGCAGTTCCTGCTCCCATCTTGGCTGAGTACCCTTCTGCGAGGCATTTTTTTTTTTTTTTCACATTCTTTGTGGGGCCGAGTGGGGATCTGGGCGGGACTTGGAGAAGGTAAGTCAGGCTGGAAATAAAGGCAAAGGTCCGGGCACTGAAAGGTCCCCCTCTTTTCCCAGGTCCTCATGGAGTCCCAGTGTTAGATGTCATCAGCACCACCCATCGGGACTAGCTCCCCCATCTGCTCCAAGGGAGCATGGAGGTCGAGGAAGAGACAACCCACCGGAAGGCCACAAGCCAGAGATGGTGGGGTTGGTGGGCAAAGGCCCCTCTCCACCCGACACCCATTGGGCCATACTTCAATCTCCCGGCAGCAAGCCTGGGGAACTTCAGGCTCCCAACGGTCCCTGCGCCCATCCGCCTGCCTCTGGACTCCCCTGTGGCCAGATGGGATGTCTGGGAAAGGGGAGCTTCCTGCAGGCTTCCCAGGGCTTGGGGGGAGGGTCAGAGATGCCAGCCCCCTTGACCCTCCCCCGTCCTTTTTTGCCTCCAAGTTTCTAAGCAATACATTTTGGGGGTTCCCTCAGCCCCCCACCCCAGATCTTAGCTGGAAGGTCTGGGTCCCCTTTTCCTCCCCTGGGAGGGGCTGGAATGGGATGAAAAGCTGGGGTTTTCAGAGCCCTATGCATGGGGAGGGGAGTGGGCTCCTTCAGGGCAGGGTATCTTTTCAGGGCCTGGGAAGGGGGAGGACCTGCACTGCTTCAGCCCCATCCCCTTGCAGTCTTCCCTCTTTCCCATTCTGTAATGGCAGCTGGAGAAGAGGACCAGGGGCTGAGAGCAGGTCTTTCCTGGGGTCCTTAAGAGCTTGGGGCTGGTCTAGGCCCTGGGACATGGAACTGCCCTGGCTGATGCCTGAACCCTTTGCCTCCTTCCTCTCCCTGGGCTGGAGGCTCCCATCCGACCAATGTCTGTAACGTGCTTTGAGTCTCCTCAGCAAAGCACCTTCAGGACGCATCTTATGAGCACAGGCAGGAGAGACCGGCTGGGTCAGGGTCAAGGGTGCATGAAGGGGGTGAGGTATAATCCAGCAATACTGTGTTACCAACTGAGGATCCCTCCCCTTCTCCATTCCAGCACTGGCCCAGCTTCGGGCACCAAGAGGCCCCTCCCCTGTGACAGTGGGGAGCGGTGGGAGGAAGGCAGATGGGGAGGGGCTCAGGATACTGCCCTCTGAGGAGAGCCCACCAGGGCCCCGTCCCTTCCTCTCCTCAGGCTCTTCTCGCCACACCTTGTCCCAGGAAAGGCCCACGTCCAGGTGACTGCACTCCTTCTTTCTCGTAAATATCAACCATGCATTTGTACGGTGGGCCCTGTTCATGTGAAGTCCATATCCATGGTCTCTTAGACCTGCCACCCTGCCACCTGCCCCCCTTACCCATCCCGAGTAGGGCAGAGATGCATGTGACTCACCCCTGCCCTCGGTCTCCCCAGAACCTTGCTATATAGTCAGAGATCAATAAAGAAGGGAGACCAGGCTTGGCTGTGTTTGGTGTTCACTGGGTGGAAGTCAACTACGCATCTTCAGGTACACTGTCCCTTTAAGCTTGATCAAATCCTGGTGTGAATGGTGTTCTCCCTGATATATATATATAGTGGGCAAGCTGAGGGCACACAGTAGGGAGGGCAGAAGTGGGACCTTACACATCTGAGGTTCTTTTTCTCTCCATTAAAGAGCTCCTTAAGGAGGGACAAATCTTCCCTCCCTTCCTCTCTTCCTACTTACCTCCCTCCCTCCCTCCCCCCCTCCCTTCCCCCCTCCACTACCTGGAAAAATCAAAAGCAGTGGGCAGGAGAGGCCTGGCTTTGGGGTCTGAGGAAGTTTCTTCACTTACGCTCAGCTTTTGTCTTTTACCCCACCCCTTGGTGTCTAGGACAAGGGGCAGGGTGACCTTCCCAGTTCCCAGCACGGGCCTCTTACTTAATAGCCACTGTATTCTCAATTCGCCTTTGCCCATAGGTTGGGATAGGGGTGGTGGTCTCCTCACAGGTGGAAGTTTCAGAATCACCGAAGCTTGGGGGGCAAGCGAGGAGGCACCGCAACACGCCACCCCCTCTTTCCCATGGGCCGCGCCAGGCTGCAGTTCTCCATTTTTTCCAGCAGATGGTGCTCACACAAAGTCACAGTTAGACTGTCCTCAGAGCTCCAAGGTTCGCAGCTGCAGGGCAGCCCCGCCTGGCAACGCTATCTTTTCTTCAAGAGGAAAAGAGAAACGGGGGCCATTCTTTCCTCTTGGTACCCTGGAATTTAGTCCTCCCATCTATCTGACCCCCCGCTTCTCTCCCCACAGAAAGTAAGGCAGGGATGGAGAAGAACCCCCTTCTCAAGTCTCCTGCCCCCTGGCAACCGGCACAGGGTAGGGGGCTGTAGAGAGGGCAGGACAAGAGGGGAGCGAGGAAAAATTCTCCAAGTTGGGGAAGAAAGAAAATACCAAGGATCTAACACCAAATTTATCACTTTTTAAAAACGAGATTTTCCCCAAAGTGAAGAAATAAGAAACAAATCCAGTGTCCACGCACTCCCAGCTGCAGGCTTGTGCCCAGGATCTCTCCTTCCCTCTCAGACCTGCTGTGGGGAGAGAGGACAGAAAGAGAGGGTGAGTGAGAGGCCACAGGCCCGTGCTGCCTCCCGAGCTGGTCTGCCAACCACCCCATTAGTCAAGTATCTAATTTCTGATGTCTGACACCAGCTCCTGCCCCTTGTCCAGTCTACGCAGGGGAGGGAGGACTGTCACATCGAAGCTCACACGGTTATTCCGTCAATGCCTCCACTCCAGGCGGGACCACTGCTCATTAGCCTGGACAGCCGAGGGCTCCAAGTGCCCTTTATCAGAAAACCCCTGGCCTATTTCCATCACCTGTTCCAGGAGCTGGAAGTCCTAACTCAAGTCTAACCTCAGCCCCTTCTGCTGCAGCTTCTCATTTGTCCATCCTCTTGCCCTGCAGGGACCAACGCGGGTGCTCTGTTCCCACTTCCCCGAGTCCAGATCTCAGCCCTCGCCTTTACCCACACAGCTGCTCTCCTGTAGACCCACAGCCCAGCATGGGCAGCTTACCGAGTTGGCTCCCTGGGACCCCGGTGGTGGTATATGGGTTGAGAGTTCGTCTGTGCTGGGTTTCTCACTGCCCCTCTCCTGAGTGTTCGGGGTGGATTCTGCAAGCTCTAAGGAGGGAAAGTGAGGGCGGGGGGAGAAGGGGTATTCATGAGGGCTGGTAGAGAGCGCAGTGCTCCCCCCACCCCATACTCCAATGACCCGAGAGGAGGCAAGACCGAATAATAAACCCAGGCAATCAGGCAGAACAGCAGGGGTTTCTCTGATTACAACTCCTACTATAGAATCATTATGTTTAAAAATATTTTTAATAAAAAAGTAAGATAAAGAAAAAAACCATCCAAAAAAAGGTCTGCAGATTTGGGTACCATCTCCACGTGTGGCGAAATCTGAACTGAACTGACACGAAGCTATTATAGTCGACCTATCCCAATTAGCAGGGCCGTTCATTTCACTGTGGAAACGTTAATGTGTTTGACGACGGGGTGCACTGCTGGGGATACTGTATAATATACACTATACCTACTGTAGCACCTTCATAAAAATTATTAAAAAATTAGAAAAATTCTGACTTCTGGAATCATTGGGCGAAGGGACTATGGACTTGTATTAACAGTACCCCCAGCAGTTCCCACTTAGTGCATGCTTTGTATGTGCCAGCTTCTGGGCAGGTTCATTTAATTTTTCACAAACTACCAGTGAAACAGGCACCATCATTATCATTTTACAGACAGAGGTTAAGTTGCTTGAGGCCTCTGGGCTGGGAAAGAGGCAGAGCTGGGATTCTAGCCTGTGAGTGCTCTTCTCGTTATGGTGGGCTCCTCACATTCAGCCACAAGAGGGAGCTCTGAAGGCCCGTTGGGAGGGGTTGGGGTCCCTTGGTAAGGAAAGGTGAAGAGATGCAAATACATGCAATACGTGCAGACACAGCCATATTCTGAAGATAGTTCTGGCTATGGCTGGACTCCTCCCCACAACAGGCTTGCCTCCTCCTGGAACCTACTTTTTGCTTCCCCAGAGGCACCCAGCCTTGACTCCGCTGGTGTGCCTGCGGTCTCAGGTGGACAGGTCTCCTGGGTCCCTGTGCTCTCAGCGGCTCCCTCAGGTTCCTCTCCCTGTTGCTGTTGTCCCAGGTGATGTTCAACCATCATCTGAAGCTCTGGGGGTGCAGAGAAAAGGAGGAAACATTGGACATCATGACTGCTCAGAGCCTCCTCTGTGAACATTCAGCTTCAACAACCACACTAAGCAGCTACCACACACTGCCATCCCTTGAGATCTGAACATGGAGGGACATTCGCTAGGCAATTAGGAGGGACTGAAGCTAGACAATAAGACATATTTCCTTCAAAGGTGCCCTGGCCGGCGTGGTTCAGTTGGTTGAGCGTTGTCCTGAAAGGCTGCTGGTTCAATTCCAGGTCGGTCAGTGCACATACCCTGGTTGTAAGTTTGATTTCCAGTAGGGGTGTGTATGGGAGGCAACCGATGGATGTTTCTTTCTTACATTGATGTTTCTCTCACTCTCTCTTTCTCCCTAGCCCTTCCTCTCTTTCTAAAAACAATAACTTTTTATTTTATTATTATTATTTTTTTAAATAGCAAGTAAGGTGTAGGGAAGAGGCTTTAAGAACAAAAAGCTCTAACTTGTTGGGATACTTGGTTCTCCCATGGGGGCCGGAGAAAAGACTCAAGTTAGAGTAAAAAATATTTGAAATCAAAACAACATAGTGCTGGCATAAAAAGAGACACACAGACCAATGGAACAGATTAGAGGCCAGAAATAAACCTATATGGTCATAAATATATGACAAAGGGGGCAAGAACAGATAGCGGGGTAAAATTAGTCTATTCAATAAATGGTGCTGGGAAAACTGGACAGATAAACGCAACCCCACCCCAATACAAAACTAAATCACTTTCTTACACCATATAAAATAATAAACTCAAAATAGATCAAAGACTTAAATGTAAGACCCAAAACCATATAACTAGAAGAAAACACAGGCATAAACTCTCTAACATTACCCTTAGTAATATTCCCCCCCCTTCCCCCCCCCCCCCCCCCCCCCCCGCCGATATATCTACTTAGGCAAGAGAAACAAAAGCAAAAACAAATGGGACTATAAACTAAAAAAAATTTGGCACAGCGAAGGAAACCACCAACAAAATGAAAAGACAACCCACTGAATGGGAGAAGATATTTGCCAATGATATATCCTAGAAGGGGTTAATATCCAAAATTTACAAAGAACTCATACAACTAAACACCAAAAACAACCCCCAAACAACTCAATAAAAAAATGGGCAGAGGACTTGAAGAGACATTTCTTCAAAAAGGACACACAGATGGCCAATAGATCCATGAGAAGATGCTCAATGTCACTAATAATCAGAAAAATGCCAATTAAAACCACAATGAAATATCACCTCACATCTGTCAGCATGGCTATCATCAATAAATCAACCAACAATGAGTATTGTTGAGGATGTGGAGAAAAGAGAACTTTCTTGCACTGTTGGTGGGAATGCAAATTAGTGCAGCTGTTGTGGAAAACAGTATGGAGGGCCCTCAAAAAATTAAATGTAAAACTGCGTATAACCCAGACATTTTATTTCTGGGTACTTACCTGAAGAAATCCAAAACACTAATTTGAAAGATATATGCACCCCTTTGTTCATTGCAGCATTATTTACAACTAGAGGCCTGGTGCACAAAAATTTTAGTGCACCAGTCCGGCCTGTGCCCTCTTTCAGTCTGGGACCCCTCGGGGGATGTCCACTTGCAGGCATAGGCCTGGGGGATTGGGCCTAAGCTGGCAGTCGGACATCCCTCTGGCAGCCGGGACCCTTTGGGGGATGTCCACCTGCCAGCTTAGGCCTGCTCCCCAGAGGATTGGACATCAGTTGGATATCCTTAGTGCTGCTCGGAGGCAGGAGAGGCTCCTGTGAGCTAGCTTCTGGCTGAGCGATGCTCCCACTGTGGAAGTGCACTGACCACCAGGGGGCAGCTCCTGTGTTGTTCGTCTGCCCTCTGGTGGTTAGTGTGTGTTATAGTGACTGGTCATTCCTGGTAGCTCCACCACTAGGGTCAATTTGCACATTACTCTTTTATTATATACTAGAGGCCTGGTGCACAAAATTTGTGCATCGTGGGGAGGGTCTCTCAGCCCTACCTGAACCCTCTCCAATCTGGGAGCCCTCAGGGGATGTCCTACTGATGGCCCCAGGGAGTGGGCCTAAAGCCGCAGTCTGGCCTCCCTCTGCAAGAGGCAACTGGACTGATCAGGGGAAGGTGCCACCCCCATCACCCCACTGCTGCTGCCACTGCCAGCTGCCACAGCTGCCAAGGTGTTTTCATCAATGTGGACTCCAGTCCCTTCACCACAAAAAAATGACAACTTTCTTTAGGCATTTTCAAGATGTCTGTTTCATAGGATATGACATTTCTAAGCCCCTACAGCAGTGGGCCTTTGTTTTTTTCTTCCAGGAATGAGGTGGAAAAAACCCTAGATTACCTTCTTGGATTCTCATTACCTAAGTTACCAAGAACACTGGGAGTGGTGTGTGGGAGTTTAGCCAGTGAGCCGTCAGAAAAGGTGTTTCTTCTGCAGCTCACGTGCGGAGGTGGGACAGCCGGCACACTGTGGCTGGCAGGCCCCATCCTCTGTGGGCCTGCACCATCCGTGGCTGGCCTCACCATGTATGCAGTCCCCTCCCACCTGCACGCGCAACCTCCTCCTGAGCGGTAGTGATGTTCAGCATCCTGTCTATTTTGCATATTACCTCTCTCTCTCTCTCTCTCTCTCTCTCTCTCTCTATATATATATATATATATATATATATATATATATATATATATACACACAGACACACATACATATGATAGCCAAGATATGGAAGCAATTTAAGTGCCCAGCAATAGATGATTAGATAAAGATGTAGTACAAATACACAATGGAACATTAGTTGGCCATAAAAAAGAATGAAGTTTTATCATTTGTGACAACATGGATGGACCTAAAAGATATTATACTAAACGAAATAAGCCAGATAAAGACAAATACCATATGAATTCCACTTACATGTGGAATTGAAAGAAATAACTGGACAAACAAAACAAAAACAGACTCTTAGATACAGAGAATAAAGTGATGGTTGCCAAATGGGAAGGGATTGGGGTGCCAGGTGAAAAACGTGAAGTGATAAGGAAGTACAAATTGGCAGTTACAAAATAGTCACGGAGATGCAAAATACAACATAGGAAATAGTCAATAATATTGTAATAACTATGCATGGTGCCAAGTGGGTATTGGAATTATCAGGTGGATCACTTTGTAAATTATATTCATGTTTAATCACTATGCTATATACCTGAAACCAATCCTATCTAGTAAAAGGGTGATATGTAAATTAACCATTACTCCTTTATAAAGATGGCGGCGCCCATAGTGGCTAGGGTGCTGGATGCTGATGATGCTGCCCTGGCCAAGAGCCCTAGTGTCCTGCGTGCCCTGGCCTTCGGAGAGAGGGAGGTGGGCAGGTGGGCCTCTGGCCAGAGGCCGGCTGGGGCGCGGGATTCTGGCATCATTGCAGGCTGAGGGACCCTCCCCGCCACCATGCACAAATTTCATGCACCGGGCCTCTTGTATAAAATAATACTGAATGTCAACTGTAATTGAAAAAAATTTGCCTGGATCGGTTTGGCTCAGTGGATAGAGCGTCGGCCTGCGGACTAAAAGGTCCCAGGTTCAATTCCAGTCAAGGGCATGTACCTTGGTTGCGGGCACATCCCCAGTGGGGGGTGTGCAAAAGGTAGCTGGTTGATGTTTCTCTCTCATTGATGCTTTTAACTCTCTGTCCCTCTTAATTCCTCTCTGTGTAAAATCAATAAAATATATTAAAAAAAGAAAGAAAACAAAAACAAAAAGAAAATAATTTGAGCATTACACCCTTTGCAGGGTGAGTTCACATATTTTCTTTAGCTTAACTGGTATAGCGAGATTGTTTTTGGGGCTCAGTAGGTTAAGAAAGCCACTCAGCTAGTTGGGAAATAGAGCTGGAAGCCAACTCCAGTTTCTATAGCAACAACCCCACAATAATAACGACAGACTTCATGACTTCTCAAGGATTCTTTCCAAAGGGGCATTAGGTCAACTGCACAATCTCTGGCTCAGAGGGGAAGAAAGAGATGAGAGGAATTGGGGGTGGGAAGAGGTGAAAGAGGATATATGGGGGATAAATGGTGATGGGGGGGGGGGGGTAAAGGGTTGGGAAGGATCTTCCAAACCTTTCATTGTAGGTGTGGTCCTCGTCACCTTCTTCCGTTGCCGTGGAGACATGGACAAAGTGGACTGTGAATGACAGAACACAGTGGGTGCCGGCCCTCTTACCTGCCTCCTCTGCCTTCTCATGCTTTTGGTTTGCAATTCGGGGTGGGGGTGCACTTCGGAAAGCTTCTCCAGCCCCCACAATGGTGAGCCAGGAGGGCGGGTGGGGGACATGCTGGGGAAGTGTGTGCACATGCACAATTGGGGTGCAGGGCAGAGGAACTCAAAGGTTCTGTAGATTGAGTGTTCTTAGTGAGCCTGTGGGTTCCCAGGGCTGGGCTGAGTGGGAGGGGCCAGCTCACCTTGAGAAGGGGATTGGGGATCCGGTCTTCATCTATCTCTGAGGGGAACAGAGAAAGGAGAAAGTGATGAGGATGGGAGACTCAGAGGGACCCCACGAGCTGACTTCCAAGGGGAAGAGCCTCTGCAATCACCTCCTTCCTGACATGTCCCTCACATCTGCCCCCAGGCCTTCTCCTTCCAGCTTCCTCCTGCTCTGCTGGCTGGCTTTAACCCTGCATCTAATCCCGTCCTTGACCCTATGGGTTTATCTGTGTCTGCATCCTTGCATCAGACCCAGAGGTACCGGGATTTGTGGTCCCTTTGCTACATACGAGGGAACATTGGGAAAAGAACAGCAAATGGATCCCGCGCAAGGGCCAGGAAGGTGCAATCATTCTCACTGGTTGGAGGCAAGGAGAGACTGGCATCCTGAATTCCCGGCTGGCTGATAAGCATGCCCACTTCTCTTCCACTCCCCTGTCAAGCTCCCTGTGACATTCCCCGAGACCTTGCTCTCTCCCCAGACCTTGATGGGGACACTGGTGACCAGAATGCCAGCTGCTCCCTGAGCTTTTTCTAACTTCCCATTTCCCCTCTGGGGGCTGTGGAGATGGCTGCTGGGGCGATCCCTCCCCCTCACAGCTGTCACAGCCTCTGGGGGTGGGGGCAGCAGTGTCTCAGTTGCTGGAGAAACCTGGAAGGCTGTTGCGAAGCAACCAGCACTCCGTTGACCACCCCAATTCCTGAGGGCTTAGGAACCAGGTGGTCTCCCTGCCCTTCCTAGTGTTTCTCCACTTCCCAGAGCAGAGGAAATCCTCCTGCTAATCCAGCCACCACTTTTCCGCCTCCAGGAGTGAGGATCTCTCTGACTTCTCAGACCTGCCCTTCTATCCTGCACCCACCGTCCCTCACCGGACCCCGCTGCCTTCGGCAGCCCCACCCACTTCAGGGACCCACTCCTGGGGTTACCTGGGGATGACTGGTCACTGGTCAGCACAAGTGTAGCAGGGGTGGGCCGACGCCTCCGAATCTGAAGGAAGAGGTCAAGTACATGTGGAGGCATCAAAGCCCCACCCAATACCACTCAGCAATGTAATCAGGTCAGCCAGTTAGCACACCTCAAAAATACTGTCACACAGGACCCGCGGCCTCAGGGTGGACTTTCCTGGGCTCATTCCTCTCTGTTAGGGGACCCTAAAGACCACGCCCCTTTCTGCATCCCCTTCTCCTTTTTCTGTCTCTGAATCCACCCCTCCCCCTCTCCCCCAGCCTCAGTCCTAGCCCTGGCTATCCATCTCAGCAGTTATATCTGCTCTGTGCATCGATCTCTGGCCCACTGTCTTTCCGTCCATCCTGGATCAATGGTCAGAAATAACCCAGGAGGTGCCAGGCTCTTCCCTCTGTCTCCCAGCCCACCCCCCAAGCGGACATTAACCCTTTGTGGATCAGCACCAGCAGAGCACACCCCTCAATCCCCACCCAGCCTGGGGGACCGCACAGAACAGGCAGGTCTGAATGTGCATCTCCCTGGCCTATGCTCCTCACTCCCTAATGTTGTCCCTATTCTTGGACAGATTGCCTCTCTGGTTTGTTAGGAAACATGTCTGTGAAAGTCCTTGTTCCGGGAAAAGAAATGAGGAATCCTAGGCAGGACTCTGGCCAGCTGGAAAAGCTTATCCTGAGCTCCAGGTGTCATTCTAAGAAATTAACGTGTAAGAGCTGATTGCTGGGCCTCTGAGCCCCTTTCCCTGTTGCTGTTCTTTTGTCATGCTGCCAATAAAGTTGATTGTTGTTGAAGTTGGTTCAAGGACTCGTGGGACATGTAGTTTTTTTCCGTTTCTTTGGAGGGTGTAGGGGCTTGGAAGCCAGGGTAAAGGTGGGGTTGGAGTCCCTCGAGTTCCCTCCAGGGCAGCAGGAGGGAGGGAAGGCTAATGGGACTGGGAAAGGGGTTAAAATTATTCATAGCTAAGAGGAGGAGGGTGAGGACACTGAATGATCCAATCCCCATCTTCGTGTGCCCATTACTTCGTAATACTACCATTGGGGGTGAAGGTGGTAAGATGCCTGCCCTTCTCTGTGCCCCCAAATTGGGTATCAGCCACAGCAAGAGGGGCAGTGTCAGTCTGAGAGGAAGACATGGGACGCACAGAACGAGGTATGTTGAGGCAGGATAATCCAGTGGCATCTGTTCTGGTGACATTTCAAGGTCCCTGGCACTACCAGTCCATGTGTGTGCGCGCGCCACGCCGCCTATATGCGCGCACCGCACACACGTTCGCTGAGTCCGTCTCTAGCTATTCCTGGTGCAAGTGTGCAGGGTGCCAGCAGGCAGGAGTGTGGGCTTCGTGCGTGTGGGTGGGGGCCATCCTTCTCCCAGGAGGGGACTCCTCTCCAGTTCGCTCTGCTCCGAGGGAGGGGCGGGCTGGGAAAGAGACCGGGAGAGGGCGGGGGCCGGTGAGTGGGAGCTGGGAACCTGAGAGGGAGAGGCCGAAAGGGCAGCAGGGTTCTGCGATCCCGTCCTCAGCCAATTCCCTCGCCTTGGACAAGATTTCTCAGCACTCCGTGTCCTTGAGGATTGTGAGGGAGCAGAGTCAGACTTTCCGAAGCACCTCCCAGGCACCTGAACCGGGTGTGCTCTTTTCTCTCTTCCACACACCCCAGACCTCAGCTCTCAAGGACACGGGTGCCTTTGCCTCTGATTTACCTTCAAACCTGGCATGCCAACAGCCTGGTAGTTGTGGGCACCCCTCACCCCCGCCACCCTGAGCTCCCTAATGCAGATCTTCGAAGTTTTTTTTTTGTTTTTGTGCTCCCCCCCCCCCCCCCCCCCCCCGCTTTGTCAGCCTGGGATAGGATCTCCTGCCAAACCCTGAGCGTTTTGCCTGCACACTTGGATAACACAGCAGGAGGGGCTGAGGTTAGACTGCAGGTAAAATTTCAGGCTTGGCAGACAGCTTTCTGAAGATCAGAGAAAAGCGGGCTCAAGGCCCAGCTCTCGTTTTCCCTCTGGCTCCTCAGCACAGACTTCTCCTTCTCCTCTGCCCCTACACTACTCCCCCAATCCAGCTGGCCTCCCCCTCAACTCCCAACACACACCAACACCTGCCTCCTCTCACACCACACGGAGGCAGGTGTCAGGTAGTGATACCTGTTTGTGCCCATGGAAGGCATATCTGCTTGAAACCTCACCCCTCACCCCCTAACCCCCACATTCCACCCTTTCAGGCCCTTTCTTCCTGGCTCTGAGGTTATCTGGGTCCGTCCCCTGTCTGCAGGCACCAGAGCCTTTCTCCTGACCCCAGCGAACACTGCCCATGCCCCTGGCTCTCCACCCTCCTCATCCCAGGAGCTTGGAGGTCTCCCACGTCCCTCCCTCTCCTGTCCCACCTCAGAGACCCAGAGATGTGGCTCCCCCAGGCCAGAGAGAGGATGGGGGCCCAGGGACCTAGCCCCTACCCACACTTGGGAAGCTGAAGTGATAGGGAGAGAGTGTGTACCTTCCCTTTGCCTTCCCATCCAGACCTGGTTCTACCAACCAGCTGGGTCAACAGAAAGAACACTCTGTCAGCCCCCCTGAGCGGCCAGTGTTTTCTCAGGTGGGAGGCCAGCAGGGTCCTGGCAGCCAATTGGGGGACGTAGAGAACTGGCCTTGTGGGAATGAATGCTCTTTTGGAGAGCGATGCCCAGGCAAATGGACAGAGGACACAGAGGGAGGTGGAGAAATGAGCAAATCCCTGGCCAACAGGCGGTAGTAGTGACCGCGGGTGGCCATCCTCTCCGCTCACGCTCTGTCCCCGAGAGACACACACTTGCTCACACACTCTCCTAGGCTGCCACCGCCTCTGCCAGGCTGCTCTGAGCTAAAAATAGGCCAGGCCAGGAGGCTGGGCCGGGCTCCGGACTCCCACCCCTCCAGCCAGGGCCAGCACAGCGTTTCTCCCCTGCCCGCCGCTCCACTTGAACCCCGGTCCCTCGAAAGCCCTCCTGCGGCTTCTCTCCCTGCCACCCCCACTGCTCGCTCCGAAGGGCAGGAGTTGGGGAAAAAAGGACCCATGTGTCCAGACTTGCAGCAAGGGGAGCCTCAGCCTGCAGCCAGGACCACCTCTCTCCCCAAAGCCCCAGCCCTCCCCTCCCCGTGCTCCCATCCCCTTCGCCTTCTCACTCTCTGGGACCCAGTAGGCTCGCCCCCGGTTAGGAGAGGACCGGGCGGGCTAATGCGCTTCTTTCCACTCCTCTACCTACAGACCCGGGCTCCCTCCGAGACCTTCCCGCGCCCCGACCCCTCCGGCGGCAGCGGGGACCCTTGGGCGCGGCGCCCCCGCCCGGCTCAGAGGCCTGGGAGGGGGGGGGGAGTGGCTGGGTGGAGGACCCAAGACGGGCGGAGGCCAGAGGGGTCGTGTCCTCAGGCAGCGCCTCCCCGGGGCTGGAGAGGCAGGAGCGACCCTTGTGGGGACGAGCGTCCAGGGGAGGCGCTCATCCATCCTCCTGTCCGTCTGGGAGAAGCCAGGGTCGGGACGGGTGGCTCCCGCGGTGGGGGAGGGGATGGAGACCCCCAAACTGAGCGCATCCGCCCTCCGGGGCGCCCTGCTCTGCTCGGGGAGGAGGACCAGGCGGGCATCTCGGCTCGGACACTCAGGGGGGTCCCTCGACCTCGGCTGGGCGAGCCCCCCGCCGCCTCGCCCTGTCCGCACCTGCTCCGCCGCCTCGGGGTCCAGGTGCGGCTCCAGCAGCGGGACCGTGAACTGGATCTTCCGGGGGCTGTTGTCCGGCTCCATGGCTGGGCGGCGGCCCGCGCGGCGGCGGGGACTCGGGGCTGGGGCGGGCGCGCTGGCTCTCGGCTCCGCTCCGCTCCGGCCCGGCCCCAGCCCGGCGCTCGGCTCCCGGCTCCCGGCTCCCGGCTCCCGGCTCCCGGCTCCCGGCTCCCGGCTCCCGGCTCCCGGCTCCCGGCTCGCGGCCTCGGGGACTCTGCAGCCGCCTATTGGCTCCGCACCGCCCCTCACAGCCCCCTCCCTCCCTCCCCCGGCCCCCAGCCTTAACCCCGTCGTGGCTGCGCCGCTGGCCGCGGGGGTCCCCACCCCGAGGGCGGGCGGGCGGGGTGTGCAGGTGTCCCCGGAGTTCTGGGCCGGAAGGGGGGCGGGGGCGGGGGCCGGGGGTGGAGAGCGGCACCGGAGAACTTCCCCCGGCCCGGCAGGCAGGTTTTAGGGCTGGAAAGGTGGAGGGGCCCTGCAAACGGCGAAAGATTCCACTTCCTCTCACAGAGAAAGGGGTTGTCTCCTAAGCGGAGAAGGAAAGGGGGTTTAGGTTTGCAGCAGGAAGGATTAAGGCTAGACGTGGACAGGGACTTTCCCTGGAAAGGAGACACTAGGGCGGAGGGGGAGACCTGGAGCGGGGGTGTGGGTGTGGGCGCAGGCCCTGTGCTCCCTGGTCCCCGGAACACCCTCTCCGGAGCCCAGAGCCCCTTCTCCGAGCGCTGATGGCAGTGGGTGCAGGGCCCCGGGAGAGAGGACCATCTGGGACTCAGCAGAAGGAGAAACGGGGGTGGCGAGCCAAGAGTGCTTGTGAAACAGATTTCTGTTTCTGCTTGCTAAATTGTGGGGATGGGAAAGCAGGTGAAAGGCCTGCGAGGAGAGGATGCTGGGGGACGGAGAGGGAAACTCGCGGGGTGGGGCGGCTCGCTGTGTACAGATGGCCTGGGTTCCGCCGTCGCTAGTGGCAGAATATGAACTAGTCTGCTGTGGCCACTCTGCCAGGCCTGGGGCCACTGGATAGATAGAGGAGAGGGGCTGGGGCACTGGGGAGGGGAGGGCTGGACATTCTGGGGGAGGAGAAGGACTGAGGTGAGGAGGGGTGGGACAGGGAGTTCTGAGGGAAGGTCCCAGTAGGGACCAGGGCCAGAGATCTGTTTCTTTCACTGTAAACCCAGCAACTAGAAAACACCATGCAACCCATGCCTGTTTCTCGGGGGGGGGGGGGGGGGGGGGGGGGAGCCATGGCCATCCTCTCCTGCAAAGGGTCAGCCATAGCCCTCAGTTGCCTCTTCTCCCAGGCAGCCCTTCTTTGGCCTGGATTTCACATGGTCCCTTCCCCTGTTACCTCCCAAAATAACCTCCTCTGGCCCCCCCCCCCCCCCCCCCCCGCCATATCACTTGACACATGCCAGGCCCAGCTCAGTTTTCTCAGGGCAATGCTGGGCTTATCGGGGCCCAGTGGGCCAGCCAGACCTCCATTTGCTGTCAACTAGCTCTGTTTTGCTGTTGTTTGGATGCCAGGACCCCACCCCCCACCCCCAACCCAGCCTGTGTTTGCAGGGTTCCCTTGCTCTCTGTTTGATGTCCAATGGCTGATTGGAGTCCTTAGCCCCTCTCTGGCCAATTGCTACCCACTCCCTAGAAGCAACAGCAAAGGGAGGGGGGGTGAGGCAGGAAGCCAAGAGAAGGATGGAGCGGGAGATAGAGGTGCTCCGACTTCCTTCCCAGCAACTGAGCGCACATGCATAGAGCAGGGTCCAAACTGTCCTTTAAATAAACGACCTGTCTGTTCCCTTCCCCTTCCACCAGGACCCTGGAACTTGAATTCCCCCGGCCTTATCTCTGGGGCCTCGATGTCCTCCCTGAGGCAGTGGGCAGGAGAGTCCCTACCTGTCAGGGTTGCGTTTGCTATGCGGTAAGGTGCCCGGCACACGGGGCCCTCAATCAATAGATAGCTGCTGTTTTTCTTGTCTCGTTATCTCCTGGAGGGGCAGGGAGTGAGGAGAGAGACCTTGCCAGCTCTCATAAGACCTCCCGCACCCGCCACAGCCATCCAGTTTGCCCAGGCCTCTGGCTTCGTCCCTTCTTCCTCCCAAACGCGGCCCGGCCATGGAAATTCCTCCCAAGCCCCACACCATTCTTCATGTCGCTTTCTCCAGCTCCAGGGTCTCTGCTCAAACTCTCTGCTCCCAAAGCTGTGGGTCAGGCGAGGGGCCCGGAGAGCTCAGGCTTTCGGAGGGGTGGCTGGTGGAGGACCCTGTGGGAAGAGGGGTCCCCGGAGCAGCTGGTACTGGGGTGGAAGCGGAGGAGGTGAGAGCAGGGAGACCGGGAGAGAAAGCTCTGGGTGCTGGCTTCTGGAGGAGGCTGGGGGGGGGGGGTGGCAAAGTGTTGGGTGGTAGCGGGGAGGTGGCGTGTGGTGGTTTGCAGCCTTTGGTGCCGGGGTCTCCACGTGAGCCGTCACGGGTCTGTCTGTGAAGGTGTGAGTGTGCCGGTTTGACGTTTTTATGCCAAGAGCTGCGTGAGTGACTGAGTGTCTGTTGGGCTGGTGGGTGGGAAGGTGTGGGTTGCTCCACAGGGTCAGGGAGCTGCAGAGCGCATGGTGCCTGCTCCAGGAGCCCTTCCTGGAACGTGGAAGAGTTGGAGCCCACCTGGCCCAGCCCGGTCCCCGGGTTTGCAAAGGCCCCATGGGGTGCTCACGTGTGCAGGCGATGTCCCCGCTGCTGTCCCCCCCCCCCCCCCCCGGGGGAGTGGTAGCTGGTCTGTACAGTACACTTCTGGATCCACACAACGTTCAAGGTCACAGGGATGTGACTCCGTGGTGCAGCCACTTAGCAGCTCCCACCTGCCACTGCCCTTGGAGCCAGACCCTGGGCTAACAGGCTGCCCCTGTTGCCCTCAGCACTTCCTGCTTTTATTATCTATCCTCCCCACCCACACAGCCTTCTCATGCCTTCTCACCAATCCTCACAACCCACCAGGAAGGAGGGCAGGGAGTAGGATCTTTATTTTGCTTTTTAAGGGCAGAGTCCTGGAGAAAGGTGATACTGGATGGGCTGCCTGGATTGGGATTTGGGAGGTCAGAGTTCAATTTCTCCCTCTGCTACCAATGGCCTGGGCCACGCTGGGGTGATCACTCCCTCCCGCCCCCAACGCACACACACTGGTCTCAGTTTCCTCTCCTGTAAGAAGTGGGAGCCGGATGACTGCAGGGGTTTCTTCCTGTTCTAATAGTTCGCATCCTGAGTGGGGAGCTCCAGTTTCATAGCGAGGAAGTCTCAGAACCAGGGTGGGACCCCAGGAGTCTGGGCCCTTACCTCCACCTTTGCATTTCTGCCTGCCTGGCTCCCGTGGCGGGGTGCACTCCTGCATGTTGAATACAAGATGCACACACTTTCTGCCTGCACAGCTCCAAGGACCCCACCCCTAGGAGCAGTGGTCCGTCCCAGCAGGCCCCCTGAGGACCATGTATTCATACCAATTTGCTGCTGTTGCTCCAGCATTTCTGGAAACTCTTGGAACCATCTCAGAGCCTGTGGCACACGCTGTGGGTCCTCATGGGCAGCGCATGTCTGTCCTTCGGCGGGCTTAGCTCTTCTGGAAACCAGTGAGTCTTTGGGGCCACGTCGTGTGAAGGAAGGAGGCCAGGTGGGGAGCGGAACCTGATCTGAGCCAGGGGTGTGGGCACCTGCAGGGATGCTCTGGGTCCCCCGGGGCCTCCAAGGCCCGCCCAGAAGGCCTCTGAGCCAGAGTGTCCAGCGCTTCCTGTGGGCCCAGCAGCACCGTTAGCGTAGATGTGTGGCCTCACAGGGCTGCCTTGGGAGGCCAGGCCTCCTCTGACTGTGTAAGTCCTGGTTTGCCTGATAAGAAGCCCATCGTGGAACCCTGCCAGGCTGGGGTGTGCACTTTCCCGCAGCTGCCACTCTCGGGAATGGGTCCAGAGCTGGTGATTCAAACAGAGGAGATGCTCATTTCCAACGTGTGTTGCCTCTTCCTGAGCCACAAACTGGTAGAGGTGGAAGAGACTTAAAAACCAGCCAATCCAACCAGTTGGAGAGGGGTGACTGAGGCCAAGAGAGAGAAAGCAGCTCTCCCAAGGACTCGAACCCATGTTAACACTTTCCCACCAGATTTGGTGGCCATGGCTGAGCAGTGGCTGAACTGAAGCAGGGGCATGGGCCAGGGGACCTCTTGAGGTGCATTGTCACCCTATGACCATCACCCGTCTAAAAGACCCAGTCCTCCAGCTATCCCCTTCCACCCCAAGCTTCCTACGAGGTTGAATTTATTCTTCTAACCAGTGCTTGTTGGGTGGCCACACGCGCCAGGCTTTGTGTGAAGCACTGGGGATTCAGTGGAGCACAAAACAGGTACAGTCTGTGTCCACTCGTATCTTACAGACGAGTAGGGGTCAGTGTGGCATAGGATGACCAAGTAATTAGAATTGAGGATGAAGCGATTATACATTATTAAGGAGTGGAAGTATAAGAATGAGGCACGTCGAGGAAGAAGGTCAGCCTGACCTCTGACTGCTTGGATGCATACTTTCTCCCGGCTGCTCCTTCCAGCCTGGCAACCGAGGCTCCAGAACAGTCTGCTCGGGTTCCAATCCCAGCTCTGCCACTCAGTAGCTGTGTGATCTTGGGCAAGTCGCTCAACACCTCTGCGTCTCAGTGTCCTCACTTGTAAGTAGCAGGCCCGGCTATTAAGATAGTGAGGGGTGGAGTGAGGTGATGTCCGTAAAGAGCCTAGCTCAGGGCCCAGCACCCACTGAAACACTTGAGAACTAGACACGACTAGGGAGGAATTCACCTTAGCAGATGTTTCTTTTGACTCTGGAAAAACCAGGGATGGAGAAATGAGGATTTCAAAGCTTCCCGAGTTGGGGGCAGACACCCCTGCCTCTTTCCAGCCAGGTTCAGTTCCTCCCACCCTTGTGTGAGCAGCTGTTCTTGATGTCCAGCTGTGTCCTCAGCAGCATGGATGATCACCCTGCCCTGCTAATTAACACCCGCCCTGTTAATGATTAA